AGCCAGCCAATTGTGGGTACAAAATATCAGCTTCCATAATTCCATGATCAAATTCTTTGTAATAAATATTCACGGGCGCGCACACACACATTCTGTTGGTTCTGTCTCTCTGGAGAACCCTGACTAATGCACCATGTTAGAGAAGCAAACTCTACTAACTGACCTGTATCACAACTATTGACTTCAGAAAACTTTAGTCTCCAAACTCATCTGCCCACGGCCCTTGCCCTGGTTCTTTTAAACATCGTGGAAGATCTCCGCTGCAGAATTGCCAGTGTGAAAACATTCAAGGTAATTTCACAGAGGCTTCTCACTTTTTTGTTTTAGTTATTTTCTACATTGGCAAAACCAATTTCAGTGTGATGTTAGAAACTGAAATCTGTGTTCGCACAGGTTAAAAAGAAATAAGCATCATAAATAATGTCATTTTTCTTGCAGGTCTTCAAGACAAGTTAACTTCTCATCAGGCTCACTTGGTATCTGACTACAGAGATAAATGAGGCCACACCGCTTTGTAAACATGAGTCCTTGGGCCTCAGCCCTCACCCAAGAACAGCAAGTTTAGCAGGAGGGTAGAGGTGCTCTTCGAGGCTCCTGCTGCCTCTCCCCTTAGCTGCCCCCAAAGCTAAGATCACAGACTGAATCTTCATGTGTCACCTTCTTAGCTGTGAGAATGTGAATATTTATTCCACTTTCATCATCTGTAAATGAAAAAGAAAAATACCTACTTGGTAAGCTTGCTGTAATAATTAAAGTAAATATGCTTAATAGGTATTTAGGAGGCGCCCCCATAAGTGGCAAGTGTCTTCTGCAAGTGCAGGAAGCAGAACATTAATGGACTTTTTTAAAAGCTGAACTTGGCAAAATGTGGAACAACTGGAATTGTCATGCATTGCTAATGGGGTACAAAATGGTATAATCGTTTTGGAAAACTATTTGGCATTTTCTAATAAAGTTAGTTATACACTTAACCATATGACCCATCAATAATAGCACTCCTAGATACGTATTCAAGAGAAAGGAGTATATATGCCCAACCCCCAAAAAACTCTTGTAGAACAAAGTTCAGATCAGTTTTATTCATAATGGCCAAAAATTAAAAGCAAACCAACTATCCATCAAGTGACGAATGGATAAACGAACTGTGGTATATCCATATAATGGAATACTACTCAATTATAAAAAAGAAGGAACTACTGGTATATGCAACAACATGAGTGAATCTAAAAAATGTTATGTTAAACAAAAGAAGCCAGACACATGAGAATATATACTATATAATCTCAAAGCCCAAGAATTTTGATGCCAGACAGCAAAATAGTAGTTACCTGGGGGCGGGGTGGGAGAGTACCTAAAAGAACTTTCTGAGGCAACGGACATATCCTAAATGTTGATCTGGATGATGGCTGCATAGATAGGCACAGAATCATCAAGCCGTATCATTAGGATATGCATTCCTTATATTTGTAAATTATACCTTAAAATAGATTTGATTCCCTCTGACAATAAATACCTTGAATAAACTCTGCCAAACTATCAACACAGTAATCCCAGGGGTCAGAGAAGCCTAAACACCTCCCACATCATCTCTGTCGCCTCTCTGTAGACACAAGTGCAGGCATTTCATGCCTTGTATCAGATATCTCTAGCAATTCAGCAGATATTGACCATGCTTTTGCCAGGTGATAAGATGCAAGGAGAATACAATAACATGTTTCCCTTCTGGATTTATAACGTGTTTACAGGAAGTCTCTAATTTGATGTTGGAGAAGAATTAGAAATACATATTTGTAGGTGCCTATTTTGGTCCTGCTGGCTTTTTAACTAAGAGGGTGAGGAATTCATCCTGTGTCGGTCAGGGACAGGAACCGGCCACCCCTAGAGGAGGCAGTCAATCCCAGACCCAATCTGCTGGGAGGGCTGCAAGTCCTCATGCCCTGAATCCCCAAACTGGGACGTGGACGAGTTTTCTTAACACATTGTTTTACTAGCTCATCTACCTTCAAAAAATTTGAAAACATGTCCATAAATTACTTATTTTTGTGGAACCTATTAAATTAAAAGCTTCTTTTCATAATATAACAAACACTAAAATTTGAGTAATTTAATGGTCTGCAAAGACAGTGAAATATTTATTTAATTCCTTACAGCTTGCTATAGTGTGTGTTCATACAGCAAAGTATATTTATTATGAGCAAGGAATTACTACCTTCAGGCAGGAATGTAGTAGTGAAGAGGTTGCTGGGGGTCCCTGCTCAACATCCTGAGGCCACCAATTGCTGCCCATGTGCTCACGGTGACAGGCAGGAGCAAGTCCTGGCTTCAAGGACTGAGTAAACCCTAAGAGGGCAGGCACATTTTAGGATCAGACTCCACCAGAATTGAATTTAGCACAACATGGAGGCAAGTACTCATTTCACAGTTACTCCCACAGAGTAGTGATCATTAATAACATCTACTGCTTCTGAAGTGTTTACTGTGCGCTGAGAATTGCATTGGTCACTTTATAGGCATATCATATTATTTAATCCTTATGACAACTCTGTGAAATTGAACTCACTGTTTTAGAGGCTAATATTTGGTGAACACTTAGGATATGTAAGGCATTTAATTCTTGCAACAATTCTGCAAAGAGGAAACAATCACTCTCCCACTTTCACTGATGAGAATTTTGAGATTTAAGAGGCAATGCAACTTGTCTTAAGGTCAAACAGCCTGTAAGCTCAGCAGTCTGATAAAATTTAGTGCAGTCTAACACCCCCTTCTGAGTGCCCCAGCCCACTCAGACTAGGTGTGCTGGGCAACAGGGAAGAAGACCAAGCTGGGGCTCTACAGAGGTCAGTTTCCCTGGGCGAGTGGACAGCAATGGCGGGAGGAATCTGGCCAGCCAAAGAGCCCATGGCTTTGGAGAAAGAAAAAAGGGAGGAGTCAGCAAGCCCAGTAACTGTGTGTGTGCCTGTGTGTATGCGTACATGTGTTCACACATCCGTGGTGGTGGTAATGACTGTGGAGGTGGTGATGTACATGTAGGAGAGGCGTGTTGGGAGGGTTCCATGGTTTCCGTCCTAATTTTGGAAACAGGTATCCTGTTTCCATGGTGGCCAGTTTCTAATGGAAAAGTCTGAAGCCAAAGGAAGGTGTCTTTCTTTCCTAGAGAATTAAAATGCTTGAGCATAAAACAACAAATGTTCCAATGTTCCAATGTTCCAAAATCACACAGGAAAGTTTGTAACATGGCAATTTATTTTTAGATTTTAATATTCTCCATGTAGAATTATTTTAAATGTCTATGTATAATTTGTTTTCCCTAACGGAACATAAGTTACTAGAAGGCCTATGTGGCAATGCCTGCCAGTGGCCCACCCAAGGTCCTGCTGATTCCAGGCAGCCTTGACCAGACCACAAGCACTGACTCTTGGCCTGAGAGGCTGATCACTGACCCGGAGCTGCCCAGCCTGGGCCAGTGCTGAGCAGGTAGAGCCCACAGACAACAGCTGAGAGGAGTAACACTCGGGTGCCCCCAGTTGGGGGATCTCAGAGACACATTCTCCACCCAGTGGAATTTTGCCACAGAAGGTATTAGGTCACTGACACGACCTTTATCTCCTTCCTTTCCTTCACCCTCTAACATCCCCATTCCCCTTCCAGAGCTTCCTGCGGTCATCTTTCAAATAAAACCCCTGCCCTGGCATCTTTGCCTCAGTTTCTGCTCCTCAGGGAAACCAAACTAAGACAAAACTGCATTTAAATCTTCAGGGGTCAGCTTCCATATCAGCGATTTTTAAAGTGTGAGCACCAAGCCAGCAGCATCAGCCCTACCTGGGAGTTTGTTAGAAGTGGAAATTCTCAGGCCTACTAAATCGAAAACCCAAGGGATGGTCCTGGCTGGGTGTTTCAGTTGGTTGCACTGTTGTCCCATACACCAAAATGTTGCAGGTTCGCTCCCTGGTCAAGGCACATATGTAGGTTGCAAGTTCAAGCCCCACTTAGGTTGTATATGGGAGGCAACCTATAGATGTATCTCTCTCACATAGATGTTTCTCTCTCTCTCTCTCTCTCTCTAAAATCAATAAAAATACATCTTTGGGTGAGAATTAATTTTTTAAAAAAAGAAAACACCTCGAGGCAGGGCCTAGCAGTCTGTATTCAACAAGCATTCCAAAGGTTCTTCTTTCCACTAGATGTGTTGATGTATAATTGACATATAACATTGTGTATGTTTAAGATATACAACACAATGATTTGGTACTTGTATATTATTGCAGCAAAATAATCACAACAAAGTTGACTAACACATTCAACACCTCACAGTTATAACTTTTTTACATGATGAGAACTTTTTAAATCTACTTTCATAGAAACTTTCAAATATATAATACAGTATTGTCAAATATAGTCACTGTGCTGTATATTCCATTCCCAGAACTTAATTATCTTGTAAGTGGAAGTTTGTATCTTTTGACCACTTTTACACATTTTGACCCCCACCCTCCACCCCCGCATTGGGATCACAAACCTGCCCTCTGTATCCATGAATTCAGTTTCTTTAAAGAGTCCACATATAAGTGATACAGCATATGTCTTTGTCTTATTTCACTTGGCATAATGCATCTTTTCATCCATATTGTTGTCTCAAGTGGCAGGATTTCCTTTTTATGCTGCTGAATAATATTTTATTACATACATATATAATCACGTATCTTTAGCCATTCATCCATCCGCAGACACGTAGGTTGTTTCTACATCTTGGCGACTGTAAATAATGCTGCAATGAACATGGCAGTGCAACTATCTCTTGGAGATAGTGATTTTGTTTACTTCAGATAAATACCCAGAAGTGAGATTGTCCCTCTAGATATTTCTGATGCATCATAGAGTTTGCAATCCACTGACATTGATATAAAACAAGCATTTGCTTATTTCATGACTAAGAAAATGAAGGGAGGGAAGGAGACTGTGTCTTAGTCACTGACCAGTGAGAATAAGAACTGCACATTTCAGTGCAAACTCGATCACTGACTCTGCATGATGCTGCAGAAGTGAAGGGAACCAGGTTTGCTAAAGTAGTTGTGGTGAGAGAAATGTATCGGCCTCAGAAGCTACTGAGGTGGTCCATTCTATCCCAGTACAGTGTAACTAAAAAAAAAAAAAAAAAAAAAAAAAAAAAAAAAAAGAACTGCACATTTCAGAACCTTCCTGGACAAGTGTGAAATCTGTCTCAGGTTGGAGCTCTTCCCATGACTTGGCTGACCCTAGACAAGCAGAGGAATTGCGGTTTTAGATAACTGTGCTGAAGTGGATAGTCTCACCTCCACACTCGATTTAACAAGGTTTTGTCTCTGCTTAGAATTAAATAGTTCACCATCAAAGCCTATGTTCTTTAGTAATTACTTTTTGGGAATTTATAGTTTCCCTCCCCTACGTACCAAAATCTTTCGATTCTAAAAAATAATCATCCTTCCAATGCTTGAGCAAGAAGAAGGAGGAGGAGGAGGAAGAGGAGAAAGAGAAGAAGGAGGAAGAAGAGGAGGAGGGGGAGGAGGAAGAGAAGAAGAGAAAGAAACTCATGGACACAGAAAACAGCGTGGTGATTGCCCAAGGGAGGGTGGGGCAGGGGAGGTGGAGGAGGGGAAGAGGGGGGATAAATGGCGATGGACAGAAACTTCACTTAGGGTGGTAAACACGATACAGTGTACAGATGACGTGTGTGGAATTGTGTACCTGAATACTTTTGTTAATCAGTGTCACCCCAGTAAATTCAATCAAAAAGAAAACAATGATCCTCTCAGTTATCAGGTATGACTCATTGCTTGGTATGAGAAGTGATCCAAATAGAGGTCCCTCTGTGAACAGCAGCAGGGCACCTGTGGCTGAGGGAGACCAAGTGCTGAGGACTACACTGAGTCCAAGGCTCAGAGGTGGGCGATCCTGTGGTTCCCTCTGCCTGCTTCCCACTTCCCCACCTTCCTGCCTCATTTCATTCTATCACAGCAGGAAAGAGAGGTCAGAAGAGATGGTCAGGGCAGATTCCAGAAAGGAAGGGGAGGGCTGAAAGGCGAGCCCAGAAGTGGCCGAGATGTTTGAGAAAGAGAAGTAGGTGAGGCATGAGGATGCCTGTAGGTAGCCCAACTATCCCATCAGCACTGGAATGAACTGCAAGGCTTTGCTCTTCCATGAGTAGTGGACCCCTCTTCAAGAGCACTATTCTAAAAGGGAAAATCAATGGAATCCGCAAGGAGAGCTCTCTCAGCTATAGTACCGTAGAGCTGTGCTCACTGCCCACAGCATCACAAAGTTTGAATGTCTTGCCAGATGACGACTTTGCCTCTCACAGCCGTGTGACATTGGGCAAGTCACCTTCCGCTCTGGACCTCAGAGGTGGAACTAGCAGTTCTCAGCATATTCTTTTGGATCTATGATATTTTACTCCCACCGTCCCCTACCACGGAGGCTTCTTCATAAGATGACAGGGCAGGAGGGCTCCCCGTGAAGATGTCAAAGCCAGCAGTCCTTGGCGAGTTTGAGTGTCAGGCGCTTTGGCTGCAGTTTTATTTTTTTCTATCACACTGATCTGCTTTTTAATCTCCACTGGCCTCAGACCAAGCTCTGTGTGCCATCATTCTGGGATGACCTCCTGATCCTGGGTCTCAGGTGTCTTGTAGCCATCAGGGTTTATTAGTGACATGGTCTGCCCTGGGGATAGCTGCTCGTCCAAACATCACTCCCTCTGGGGCCAGGAGGTCAGTGATGAATAGACCCTTGCCTGTGCTAATGGGTTGATGGAATGGAGTATGTTGCCTTTGGCCTTCTGACTACAGAGTCCCACATCTGTGAGCTAGTCCATCAGTCATGCTAATAGAAGGTTATATCTTGGGTAAGGGCTACAAAACCCCTGGGGCAGATAGCCTCATACCTTGCCTCTTTATGAGCAAAGCAAGTACTGCTAGATACTTCATGTAAGCAGTTTCCAAGAGATGGCTGGTTCCCAGGCCTATTGCAGGAGGGCTGTCTAGGCTATTTAGGTGGAAGCATGTCACTCTTCTGGTTTTTGCGAGAATGCCAGGGAGAGCTGCCAAAATCTTCAGATGCTACCTCTGGCTATTCTTTCCTAGCCTTTCTTATGAGAAAGTGTGTCACTCTGAACGCTGTGATCTTCAGGAGGAAGCAGCTTTGGAAGTCAATGGTCTCCTATGCTACTCTGTGTTAACCTGAATGTGTCTACTTTGGAGTGTCAAGGGCTGCCTGAGACATTTTTGAAATCCCTTTTCCCTTCAGAGCAGATCCAAAGCAGCACTGCAGGAACCTGCATTTAATTACAACCTTTGTCACATTAACTGTTACTCACACATTACTTTTTTCTTCAATGCTGTTCTAAATTCTGAAGTACTTGGCTGAGATGCTTTGTTTTACCCAGCCACGAATGTGTCTTTCAGACAAGACATTTAGAAAACAATTGACATACAACTGTTGTGGCCTTGAAAACAAAAGGAGCAGCACACACAAAGAGAAATATGCAGTCAAATCTGTTGTACAAGATGAGTAAAGCAGGGGTTCCCCTTGTTGAACAGAACAACATGAACTGTTCTGTCATTGTATTAGCTCACTTATTCTGTTCCAAGACATTTCTCAGGACAAAGTGTAAATTAGTTCATTTTAACAATATTCTCTAATTTCTGCCACAGGCATGCATCTCCTAAACTCTAAGTGACCCCGCAAGACTTGCAACGATGGGATAAATGGGCAGTGGCAGCTCATCCTGGGCTAATCCATTGACCCTGTCACCAAGACCCCCCCTTCTTTGACTTCTCAGGAATCCAATAGCATACCTGCCTAGTCTCTCTTCTGTTGCCTCTTCTCTCCTAAGCCCTTCCTTGTTTCACTGTCCTCAGCTTTAATAAACATACCCCTAAAATAAAATTTAAAAAAATAGTGCAAGAATGACTCAGGTTGCCCTAGTTTAAATCCAGCTCCCATCATTTGGGACAGATATTTATCCTTCCTCTGCTATAATTTCCTCATTAAAAATTATAAGTTTGAATTTATTGTGTTTAGAATATAGTAAAATTGGAATTTCTAATTAGTGAAGGAAAATCTTGCCAAAAAAAATAATGCCAGAATAATTAGTTAACTTTTCAATTAAAATATTTTATAGTCTTAAATGTTTTTTAAAAAAGAAAGAATAATAAAGAAGATTAATTTGAAAAATATATTGGGAAGATAACTATATAGGAAATATTTGATAGATTTAATGATATAAAAAATCATGGACAAAACCAAAGGGGAAGAGCTGAGGGAGGGAAGGAGGGAGGGGGCAAGGGAAAGTGGTGGGGGGGAGGCAGAGACAAATGTATTTAAAAATAATAATAATAATAATAAAAGGAAAAAAACTTCTTTCATATTAGTTAAAAAAATTAATCATCAAAAAACAAATTGAAAGGCAAATAATCAGCAGGAAAAAATCTTTTCAATATACTGTGTAGCAAATGGTTGTTATCCCTCTAGAAAGAGCTTTTTTCATTTTTATTGAATTTATTGGGGTGACACTGGTTAACAAAATTATACAGCTTTTAGGTGTACAATTCCACAGCACATCGTCTGTACACTCTTGTGTGTTCACCACCCCAAGTCAAGTCTCCTTCCATCACCATTTATCCTCTCATACCATCTTCCACCTCTCCCCATCTCCCCAAGAATCACCGCACTGTTGTCCATGTCCTTGATAGAAAGAGCCCTTAAAAAGAGAACACAAATGCTCTAATAGAAAATAAACATATACAAGAAAGTCATAATGTAAGTGACACAATTGAAATCTGGGATACTAAATTATAAGAATCAAAAAATGCAAATTAAAAATAAAAGTTATACATTATTTTGTTTCTATTTAATTTGCAATATTTACAAAGAACAATAATAACTTATGTTAGTAGAGATTTGGGGAAATAGGCTTTCTTATACATGACAGATAGGAACATAATTTTAGTACAATTTAAACAAATGTTTATTGAGTACATATGATTACATGCCAAGCACCAGGTCAGACTTGGAGACATAATAGTCAACAAGACTAAGAAGGATCCTACACTATTTTCTTTTTTTATCTTTATTATATTTTACCATTATCATTTAATCCCCTTATACTCCCCTCCCCCCAGCAGTCACCACACTGTTGTCTGTGTCTATGAGTCCTTTTTCCACTTCTTAATGCCCTCAATTTGGCTGTGTGAGATAGAAGGAGAGAGGAAGAACATATAGGTAAAATAAATAGCACATACCTAGTTTATACTAGTACTAATGATATAACAACTTTCAAATTTTACATGCTTGATAGTCCCCACACCTACCACCATTCATCTCCATCAGACTTCCTTCAAGTTGCAGGAAGGGATTCCCAGGAGGATTCTCACATATTCAGAAAAAAAAAGAAGATTTGTCAGTATCTTTCCATTCTATGTCTTTGTTGTTCTCCTTATCCCCTAAATTAGTTGAGCAGCTACTTTACCATTACCCTGGATATAGTGACTATATTCTACACTGCCCACTGAATTCTCTCTGAGGCTCTCAAAGCCATAAAACAGCCAAGAAAGGATCTGTTCCATCTAGGCCTTCTTTGTCTGGAAGAGAAGGGGTGCCTTGTTCTATTAAGAAATATGGACCATCAGATTTCCATACTCATAAAGCATCTGATGCAGGCTTTCTTCCTAGGGTCAATGCCAGAGAAATTAGAGAAGGTAGAGGAAGGTATGGACTCCAGGAACTTTTGAAAAGTGAGAAAACTCCTGAGGTGACTGAAAGTTGTTAAACTGATGTATATGGAGGGCGGGTGAATGGAGGCAGCAGTGAGGCAGCATAGCAAAGGATGAATTAGGTTTACTCTCACTTCACCTTTGAGATGTCCTGACACAATCCTTGCCTGCTTCCCCAACAAGTCAGCAGCAACAGTGGAGGTCACTGATTACAACAGGACACTATCAAAGGTGACAAGTTGAGAAAAAAGAGAAAACATGGAAAAAAGATAATATATATTACAATCCACGACTATAATTCTAGACAATAGTAACTTGATGGGAAAGAGGACTGGAGGAGTGAGGGAACTGGGGGGATATGAGAACATGCCCAAATACTTACTAATTAGT